AGGATGAGACACGGCTCAAGATCTCTAGGCGGCATGAGAGTCTGTTCCGGTCTAGAAATATGGAGTCTCTGCAATGCCATTTCATGTACTCCTTGCCTTTTTGTGGAGATTTTATTAATGAAATTCAAAGATTTTTTGTGGGAAGATGGTAAAACATTATTCCTGTCCCTTTGTATTACATTAGAAGGCTTCGCCTCCCCTTTCTCCGCTCCCCACTCGCGTCCTGCGCCCCGGGTGAAGTGACCCCATACTGATTTCGTACATTTGTTGTACCAGATACCCGAAAGAACAATCGACATCAAAACGCTGATGGTTCTCGAGGGAGGAAAATATGTTGTTCAAAAGACTGTGACACAGGAGGATGTAAGTCTTTACTATTCTAATTGAAATAAAAACTATTGTTAGTTTTAAAACTAATTTCCTACAACTTGTGTTCAGTTTGAAAGAAGGACGCACGAGACGTATTCATCGAAGCAAATGCAAGGGTTTATTTGTGAAGGTAGGTTCTCAAAACTTGGCCGAAAAACAATTTAAATTGATCATCTATAGTATCTATAATGAATTAAATATTAAATAGAAGTTCCTTGGTTCAATGATCATTAACAAAGATCTACAGTACATTCTATGGTCATTAACAAAGATCTACAGTACATTCTATAGTCATTAACAAAGATCTACAGTACATTATATGGTCATTAACAAAGATCTACATTCTACAGTACATTCTATTCAGAAGCATCCTCAGAGATATGAAAAACTAATTTCTGCAGAATACAACGAAACATTATTTTATCTCGAACGGAACTCACATCTTCGGGTATCTAGACCGCCACTCAAAGCATTGAGCTATCGAGGCAACGGGGATTGGTAGAGAGACTTATCCAATAGACAATTCCCATTATAGACTAATTTTAAAACTAGGCAAAGAGATGCAAATAAATCTAGGTAGAAAGAGCATACAAAAATGAGTAAAATTGCAAAGTTTGGTCGCGAAATGTTGTACAATGTGGAAAATATAGCCTTGCAAAGATTTCGCAACCAAATTTTACAATTTTACTAATTTTAGTATGCTCTTTCTAGCTGTGGTGATTTATCTCCTTGCCTAGTTTTAAAATTAGTCTATAATGGGAATTGTCTATTGAAGTGCACGAAATCTAGAAACCGGCAGATGTGAGAATAGTATAAAGCTAATTATACTAACCTGTGCATTTGAAATTCTGATAGCCTGCCATGTTGTTCTTCAACGATTGTTACTGAAGAAAGGAATTCCAGAAAATATGGTCTTCTTAACTTTTGACAACCAAACGAATCTTTCCTCGATGTCATTTGTAAGTAGTTCACTTTCACTGAGGTCATACTGTATAGCTGTTTATACAACGGCAAGTGACATGACTGTTAGGCGTTTTGGAAAATTAAATCTGGTTAATTGTATTTTTTGAAGGATAGCAAAGTAGGCTGTTGTAATTGACTGTGTGATTAAAGAATATTAGGGTTTCGAGCATCTCACGCGATAGAATTAGGTCTTGGAGGGTTTTGTAGAGGGAAATTTCTAGTGTGAATTTGATACATTTATTTAACCAGGAGCAGTTGCGTCATGTCAATGTAAGGTGTTTGGCTTCTGGAAACAGTCATGACTTTTGCCGCTTTGTTTATTTGGTAGAAAATGTTGGATGAAAGAGAATTGGAGGTTGAAGGCGAGGGGGTGTTGACAAGAGGGATTCAATGTAAACTCTCTTCAATCATGCAACAAGAATATATTTGGGAATCTTTCTTCATACCTGATGGGTGAGACAACTATGAATTCACTCGAATTTTACTTTGCTTTCTTCATTTGTCTTTGTAAAATTGTTGCTAATGAAATATATTTTAATTAAATATTAGTCGTTTGATGTTACGAACAGAAATTGGAAGTGACGTCACTGTTAGACAGCTCACGCTACCACGCACTCCAACACGTAAGTACGAGTGAAGACTTGACCAACCTCGTTCCCAGGCTCCACAAGAGGAAAGAACCTGGGAACGAGTGAAGATCTTGACCTGCATGCGGAGACGCTATTGCAGGGCTGCAAACTACTGTCGGACATCGGACAATGTCCGACTAAATTTGGCAAATGTCCGAGCAAAAGTAATTTTGATCGGACATTGGTCCGATCACAAAAAAAAATTGTCACATTATACATTTTTTCTGCTGTGACAAAATCCGATTGCAAATTCACTCAATTTGCATTTTGCAATAAAATTTGCGAGGCATTCTAGCATTTTACTTAACGTTGCGCCGGAATGGCTATACATACTTGTCTCGTGACTTATATATATCTTGTGACATATATGTATATATGTCCGACCAAATTTAGTGGTGTTGGTTTTTGTCCGACCAAATTCAAGTTATGTCCGGCCAAAATTAGAAGTGATCGGACAAATGTCCTGTCAAGTCAAATATTTATTGCAGCCCTGCTATTGTAGCTTCTGACCTTCGTACAACTTGCCCCATGATGAGTATAGTAAACAGGGTTTGATTGTTGCATGGTACGGATATCTTACAAGAAAAGATGGCGGATCAGAGGTTGCGATTTTATTCCAGAGACTTTCGCCCGCTATATATACTATAGCTACTACATCTCCCATGAATGTGGAGGAGGGTGGGATATTAAATTTAATAACTTGAAATTCACATCTACCAAATCACGAACTTTATATATCAGGGACTTAAATGTATGCGGGACGCGTCAAAACAACTCCTTCAAATTAATGACGGCTACCACTCACTGGCTTACTACGCGTCTGATTGGTTAATTGGATATATCAAACGCATTTGATTGGTTAATAGCAATGGTCCGTATTGGTGGAGGTAGTGGGGATCTGAACCTCTCTTGTGGAGAACTTAGGACGGAAACGTGACCTCTTTACACTATATTCAATTCCTGTAATCAATAATACACATTCAACAAGTTTTCTTCACAGTAGTGCATGGAATGTGAACCTTGACAGATTATAGAAACCATTGTTTCTTCATCACAGTTTTGTTCATAGGATAAATATGTTTGCTTATACACGTCCTTAATCTAAAAAGCTGTCTTAATTTTGCAGCTGAACAACCAGAAATAATTACGCCGCTTAAATGGGAAGAGGATATGGAATTATTATCACAATTCACTGATAGAAAAGTAAGTATAGGTGTAGGTGGAGGACAGCAGTTTGAAGAAAAATACTTACCAAAACAACCGTCTTCAATAAAAAAATTGGCTAAAGCTTTTCCTTTCATCGCAAGAGTTGCGAGTACTTTCATCCAATCACATTATAATATGTAATGAATTTGTCACTATATACATGTTACAAACTAATTAAAGACAAATAAAGACAAGTTAGACAATTCGTGACAGGGGAAAGGAACAGGACTCTCGTTCCAATTGACACCTAACCCCTAAACCTAACCATTAATGCTCGACATTTTATTTTAATTAGATGCAGGCACTTGCCGCCAAATTCACGTCAACTATATACTGTATATAGAACTCCCATGCCATGCAGTTATTGTTCATTTCTTATTACTGCCACTACATGACAGACTGTTCGTAACAATATACATCTCTACACAAGACTTGCAGTTCTTTCATTAGGAGCAAATGACACATATATACTTCCTTCCTGTGCTGTGAAAATTTTACAGTGAATATTTTTCTATCTTTTGTGTTTGTGCAGGAAGAGCTTATAGATGACCACAATACGTATATTCGAAGACATCCAGAACTACAGGCGATTCTGGCGGACTTCTTACAGTTCTTATTACTACGAAAACCTGACGATATATTTGATTTCGCGAAAGACTTCTTTGCTGGCATGTCTTTAGCGCCCGTACTTGATCAAACTGATGAGTGAAGAAAATGTTCAGTTGATTTTCGCATTTTAGTTATATATATATTGTAAATAGACAAAATACGTCATTACGTTTATGTATTTCTAAATTAATTTATGTTGTAAATAAAGTTAACTATTTCTGATTGAGAATTTTTTCGGTCCATCTAACACAACCCTGATCCTAGGATGTCTAACCCTTATGCAACATCGTTCCCAGGCTCTCCTACTTATACGTATGACATCGGGAGTTTTGTGAAAAGACGAGAAAACTGGAGATGCATGATAGGCATTCAACTACCTGAAAAATACCAAGTAAAACTTAACCTTCGTGGGGAAGTCAGTAGCGGAGAAAATACATGTGTTTTTATACATTTTATATTCGTCAAGATAAAAGCACATGTATTTTCACGATCCATGCTACTAAAGCCCTGGGCAAACTAGGAAACATTGTTGTGGAAACATTTGTGATTCTCGATGTTTCCTCAAATGTTTCCCTGTTCGTCCACCCGTGGAAACATTGTTGCGGAAACAAAATTTGCTTCCCGAGAAGCAAAAATGTTTCCTAGCGAATTCAGCGAAACATTTGATGTTTACCTATGTTTCTCACTAATGTTTCCTAGTGTTTGCCGACTCTGGGAAACATTGGCAGGAAACAATGTTTCCGCAACAATGTTTCCTAGTTTGCCCAGGGCTTTACTACCCGACGAAGGTCATTCGTTTGAAGCGTCGAAGTTTTGTATTTTTCAGATGTTGAATCCTTCTCAATCCGCAGTTTTCTGGCGTTGTCACCACCTGCGCTGGTCGTTTTGTAGAAAGGTTTCTGAGGCTGCAGGGGCTCATGCAGGTACATCATTTGGAATGACTTGTGGGGAGGGATTTTCAAAGTGGAGATTATCAGAGAAGTTAGATACGGTCATTTTGTTTAGTAGATATCACTATGTCTTTAACCCTCATTACCATTAAATTGAAAGAGTCACAGAAATCGCAGCCAGCTTATTTTTGCGACGTGATGTTTACGATTTTTAAGAAACCAGGCTTTTGTGTATAGTCCAACCATAAGAAATTCAAATGACGAGAGTATAACAGTATATTAAGAAACACCAATTGATATTACATAATATACGTAAATTAACCCGAGTGTCTCTTTATTTGGTTGATTCCTGGCCTAGAAAGTAGCCATATTCCCCGACCATATTCTCCCATGTTCTTCTGCCATGAACGAGATCGCTGACCGACTTTGGCAAAACATCAATCTAAGACACAAAACAAAGTAATGTATGCATGATATCAAATCATTTAAGTATCATCGATTTCTCTTGGCAGGAATATGTCGTGGTGTGAAGGGTATGCTCGTTGAAAATAATATAAAAAAAGAATGTGTGCTCCTTAAAAAATAGGTACACTAAGCGTACATGTATCTGCGACAGATATATAGAGGATATTACACGGCGGCACGAAGATATGACTTTTATCTTTTAACATGAGAAGATAAAAGTCATATCTTCAAGCCACCGTGTAATGTTCTATTTATTATATAGTCCCAAGCAAAAAATTGTATAAATACTAAAAATCACGTGATCGATATATATAGAAAATATCTCACTGTGTATTTTTCAGTATCTCACTCTACTATGTAATAAAATTATAAAGGCGCGTGTACACTTGCAATTTTTGCGGCGATTCCTAGTGAGATTTTCTTTTTCAAGTTTCAAAAGTCGGTTAGTTATCGCCTACACTGGCACAGAGCGACACACTAAGTTATCTTACCGGTATTCTAATTTGTTTCATTGAATTTCGTTCACGTAAGGTGACGGTAGAAGGTTGTTTATTCACAGTATCGAAATCTATGGTGACACCAAATGGAATACCAATCTCGTCTGTTCGTGCGTATCGTCGACCAATAGAACCTGCAGAATCATCAACTCTGTGACTGATGTCGTACTCGTTCAAGCCACTCGCTAAAAGCGAAAAAAGATTGGTTACTCAGGTCGAACCATGCATGCAGTTGTGTTAATTAGGGATTCAAGGTTTCCGACGCCATAATGAAACACAATAGTGCAGGGGGTGCAAACACACAATGGAATTCCCTATAGGTAAATTTACAGGGGATGCAAACACACAATGGAATTCCCTATAGGTAAATTTACAGGGGATGCAAACACACAATGGAATTCCCTATGGGTAAATTTGCAGGGGGTGCAAACACACAATGGAATTCCCTATGGGTAAATTTACAGGGGATGCAACACACAATGGAATTCCCTATGGGTAAATTTACAGGGGATGCAAACACACAATGGAATTCCCTATAGGTAAATTTACAGGGGATGCAACACACAATGGAATTCCCTATGGGTAAATTTGCAGGGGGTGCAAACACACAATGGAATTCCCTAGAGGTAAATTTGCAGCGGGTGCAAACACACAATGGAATTCCCTATGGGTAAATTTACAGGGGATGCAACACACAATGGAATTCCCTATAGGTAAATTTGCAGCGGGTGCAAACACACAATGGAATTCCCTAGAGGTAAATTTGCAGCGGGTGCAAACACACAATGGAATTCCCTAGAGGTAAATTTGCAGGGGATGCAAACACACAATGGAATTCCCTAGAGGTAAATTTGCAGCGGGTGCAAACACACAATGGAATTCCCTAGAGGTAAATTTGCAGCGGGTGCAAACACACAATGGAATTCCCTATAGGTAAATTTGCAGGGGATGCAAACACACAATGGAATTCCCTAGAGGTAAATTTACAACGGGTGCAAACACAATGGTGAAAACAATAGATTCAAGATGGCGTCGGAAACCTTGAATCCCCCTATAGGAAGTCAAAGGGTGCCCTTTTCATGAATACAAACGTATTTGACTCGAGTTTAAAGCCTCGTATCCATTCGGTCTCGAAGTTGTTGACCTAATGTGAAGAAACTGTCTGATCTATCCCAGATTTTGGGTGTTTTATCCAAACCAGTCTTTCTGATTGTAGGGATATACGTCAATGTAAAATTGTTGAAACGAGATGATTCTACTCACATAACGTTTTGACAAAAGGCTCAAATTCTTTGTTTTTACTCAGTGGTAGAACTGAGCACTTGACTGGAGCGACCAATGCAGGCAATGAAAGCCACTAAAAAGAAAACACACAGTCCTGTTAGCCAAAAAATAATTTGATGAAAACAGTGTGTGGAAACTGCAGCTTGTAAATGTAGTACATCACATTAATAACGTCAGTTCAGTAGACGAAGAACTGCACAAACTGGTCATATGTTGATTATTCAGCCGGACAAACTCAACAGGTTTATTCGATACTACAACTACCTGATGAGAGTATTCAATTTAAACAGTAAAATAACTTAACATAAGATAAGCATGTAAGAAATATATACTCGGAACAGTAAAATATTGTAAACTAAAGATTTATGGAGGAATTTCCATATGGGAATTCAGTGACGCAGCTGGCGCCTTTCACTTATGAGACCCTAGGTTCGATCTCTCAAAACATTCGTGTGAAAAGTGTGAGTACTTTAAGTCGTGGGTTGTCGCCGAGTACTTAGAAAGCCTTCGACTCGATCAGGTTGAGCTGCGTCCCTCGTAATTCAGCTTCGCTCTCAGCTGCAAGTAAGGATTAGAATCCTTTACTTATACTTACTAGGCCTGTTTACACTTTCACTTTTTGCTGCGATTTGTAGTGCGATTTTGTTCTTCTGATGCATAGGAACGAGTACAAGTAGGTGGGTGTTCTGATGAATGTTTTGAGTTTACAAAATACTGTATACTATTCGGAGTATGTTTTGTTCTAGATGCACGGTTTTTGAATTAGTCTACTAGAATTGCCAACTGATCATATGCTACAACAAAGGTCATTCTAACATATTCATGCAAGCTTACCGTTCTTTGTACATCTTCCTCCCGCACATGAAAATTATGTTCTAATAATGAGTAAATAATTCGACCAACACCAAAAGACGGTTCAATGACGTGAGGCTCAACTTCTCGAACTACAAAATAATAACATATTAATTATTGAACCGCAAGCAAAACTTATTTACACATTTAGGTACAAAACTGCATATAATATTTGTTTCTGACAAATATTAAAATGACTGATTAATGTAAGCTTATAGATCCAAAACTCGTAAGCATATAATAGATCATATCTAGATCCATGGACATTTGTAGCACGAATCTATTCGTTGGCAAGAAAATGATAAACTAACAATAGCCTATACTCGTTCTGTCTTCTGTCGACTATATAATTAACAATTATACCATGAGCTCGAGTCGTATATGAGCTGATAGCTGACGAGGTGCGTAGCACCGAGTCGGCTATCAGCCATATACGACGAGAGCGAATGGTATAATTGTTTTATAATATAGTCTAATATAGCCATTAACTGAAGCAGTAATTAATTATTCACTGTTACAATGTGTTGACAATTTGTTCGGCCAAAAAC